CAGAAAAAAAGCTGAAGTGTAAGAAACAATTTGTGCACTCGGAAAGTACAATTAGTGCTATCAGAGAGAGGCCTGGAAAACTGCAAAGAATGGAAGATGCATGGATGGCAGCAAAAAAGTGGCAACACTGAGTGACTGGCAATCATGCAACAAATGGAAAAGAAAAGTGAGAAGAGCTGCCAAGCCATGGTGAGGCAGTGCGCATGGAAGAAATTAGGGGTAAGATGAATTTGGGACACTCAGGATACGTTTACGCAGCAGGGCAAAAGTCGAATTAAGCTACGCAACTTCAGCTACATCAGTTGCATAACTGGTGTCAAAATAGCGCCAAAAGCCGAATTAAGCTATCTACACAGTAGGAAGTAAAAGGAAGAATACTCTTCCTTTGACGTCCCTTACTACACGTACAGTGAGGGTTACAGTAGTTGGAGTAAGAAATCCTCCATCTCAACATTATTTCAAAATAATGTCTTCCTGTGTAGATGCGCACTTTATTATTTCAAAATAATGTCATTCCAAAATAATGCTGCTGTGTAGACATACCCTCAGAGACATACCCTCAGAGATATGTAGACTGGGTAGCACACATTTGAGATGTGCTGGACATGTGATAAGATTGTATAGCCCAAGGTTCCGTCTGCTTCAACAGTAGCCATGGGAACAAGTTGTGAACTATTCATTGTGACATGTTGTGAGAGCTTCCTGGTTGTTGCCAGGGAATTCCTGACTCTCCCAGCAGGAAGTTTCTGCACTGACTGAAGCTGAGAGTAGGACACAAGTAGTAGAAAGGAATCGGCTGAACTGCAACCATGTTCTATATGGGGTTTTTTACAGAATAAAACCTTGTACCTGGTGGTTTGTCTGAGTAGGTCTGGTCTAAGGCTACACAATACAGAGCACACAAAGGAGCCTCAGGCCCAGTTTTCCAAAGTTGTGTAAAAAGTGACAAGGCAGATTTTCCTTATGTTGAATACCTTCATACTGAACAGGAGGGGGACTACAAATGGAAGAAGAAGGACCAGCAAATAAACTTTGGGAGGAAGAAGATGGCAAGAAAGGATGTATGGGTATGTCTACACTACCCCGCTAGTTCGAACTAGTGGGGTAATGTATGCATACCGCACTTGCTAATGAAGCCCGGGATTTGAATTTCCCGGGCTTCATTAGCATAAGCGGGGAGCCGCCA